CGCGCGGCGCCGGGGGGAGGTTCCCGGGCGGTGAGATGGAGGACCGTGGGGAGAGGAGGGGACCGGCGGGTGACGCCGCCGCTGGCTTTGGCTGCCTCAAAACGGTGGCTTTCTTACTCAGGGAGACAAAACCTGCCATCCCGGTGTTGTCTGGGGTTGCGGGTGGACCGGACGGCCTCGGTGCCCCCGGGGCTCGGCGGCTGCTTCGCTTCTCCCCCCAGAGTGGATTCTGCTCTAAATTCCCCTTACGGTTCAGCGCTCGTCTCTGAAATAACTTGGTTTTTTTTGCTTTGTACATTTGCACTGCAGGGAGAGCTCACTAAAATCTGTGTTTCTGCTTTTGCTCTCTTTGTTGTTTGGGGTGTTTTTTCAGGTAAAACATTAGCGTCATCATGATTCTGCATCAGATCCTGCGACTTTCTTCCATTTTCCGCTCTGCCGTGTCCGTTCACTTGCGCAGGAACATCGGGCTTTCTGCTGTCGTCTTTAACAAGGCAAAAGAGCTCGATCCCGTTCAGAAGCTCTTTGTGGACAAGCTCAGAGAGTACAACACAAAGAGCAAGTAAGTAAAGGAAGTTATTTGGAGGCTGATCTTCGTTCTAACAAATGCTAAAATATGCTACATTTGTAGTTTTGTCTCTAAATGCCTAAGGTATGCTTTTCTGCTAGTTATTGATAGGGTCACAAGTGAGAATGCTTGTGTTCTTGCATGATATATGAACATACCAGTATGTTAATTTTTACTCATCTGTGTACTCTGTAAATAAAGGGGAAAAAAACCCACCAAATTACAGAACACAATAGCCCCTTATTTTGTCTAGGGAAAATGACAATTCTTCACTCATGTTTCCAGAAGCTGAATGGCAATAGCTTCCAAAAGCCATTGACAGTTAGTGGAACTGTGAGGCTGATTCATAAAACATTTTAAGTTAATAAGCAGTTCATTTAAATGGAACATTAGATTCTTGTTATGTATGAATGAAGTAACGGGAAACTCAAACTATAGTAATTGTGTCATTTATTCTTGGGAGGGAAGTAAGCCACTTCTTAGCTCTACTGGAGGAAGAGGTGTGGCTTGTACCTACAAACTAGCCTGTTTAAGGAGGCATATTTTTGGTGGCTTTACCAGTCGTAAGTGATACCTCTGTTGGTACAACTGAGCATTGGTAGTCTAAAGAGTTACTACTTTAATTATATTTGTATCCCAAGAAATTCCTGTCTCAATCTGTATGAATGCAAGATGCCCTGTGTCCTGTTGTTTTGTTTTTTTCTTTTTTTCTTGTTTATTATTTAAAACATGTTCTATTTGCAAAAACAGTTATGCTTTACTAACCAAGATCACCAATTCAGAAATAACAGAGTTATGAATCACAATTTTGTTAGGTAATCAGACTTGGAACAAGTGAAACTAAGAGCCCTCAAAGCCTGGATAATCAATGTGGTGTTCTGTCTCAAAAGACTACCTCTGTAGCTTTAATTTTCATCAGTGGTAGTAGATAGCCTGTACTTTACCCTGAGAACCTTGTTTATGTGTAAGGTAAGTAGGCCCTAAGGTCTGTCATATCCTGACTTTCGGCAATCTTTTAAATAGTTTGCTTTAGTTAGTTGTAAAAAAGGTTTTTATTTAATAAATGGCCATGAAAATGTAGAACTTCCACATGAAATTTCAGAACTGAACTGTTAACCAGAACTTGTTAATGTTTTTTAGGCAAGCTGGAGGGCCTGTTGATGCAGGTCCTGAATTTCAGAAAGACATGACTGAAGCTCTTGCTAGACTTCAGCGGGCCTATGGTGAAGGAGATCTAACCAAGTTTCCAGAATTTAAATTTCAGGGTGAGTTAGCAATCTTACAGAATTTCTAATTGTAATTAAGGACAAGTTCAATGACCTGTTTTCTTGCTTCGCATTAATTTTTATTTGTTCATTAATTTAATGTAAGATGCTCTCAGTGAATCTCCTTGCTTTTGCACAGTTCACATCTGATTTCGACTCCTTGTTTTCATTATTTCCTTTTTCCATTAGAGATGTGGACTTACACTCATGCTTAAAGGAACTTTCAGTCAGATCAGGCTATCTTACCTTTAACAGACCCTAAAAAACCAGCCCAAATAGAATAGAAATAGCTCAGGGCCTATTCTTATATTTTTTTCCCCCCCTCATCATTCCAAAAAGGTCAATAGACTTATTTGAAAACCAGTTGCCCGTGTCATCCAAATTTGTAAATTTTGTAAGCTCATCTGTAAAGTTGGTGATCTCAGAAAAAGAACATAGACCTTAACTTTGTTGCTTATGATTACTTTGTTACCAAATTATATTAAACGTTTTTCTTCAGTTATTTGGCTATGACCTCTGTTTAATTGTTCTAAGTTTGTGCTAGCATGTTTTCCTGTTACCCAGGTTCATGATGAGAATGCCTGGGACAATTGCTGTATCAAGAATGCTAAGAAATTGCACAGATTCTGTCTGCCTTAGGACAGAAAGGCAACTTACTTTCTTTTACAGACAGGCTCATTTGTGTAGTTGTTTCTTTTGCATAAGTACATCTCAAAGTCTTCATTGCTCACAAGCAGTTTCAGCTGAAGTCCATTTGTGCAGGGTTACTGTGTCTTTCTCATAAGCTGTAAGAAGCTGGTAGCTGGGATTTTGCAATCCTTTCAATGTGCCACTGTACTTGGTTTATGTGGCAGGGTTTCAGTAGCAGGGGGATGCAGGGGTGGCCTGTGGCAGAAGAGGCTGGGGGTTGTCCAAACATCAGACAGAGCCACTTCCATCTGGCTCCAAAATTGACCCACAGCAGGACACAGCTGACCTGTTCAGCGTTGCTGGTGGTGCCTCTGTGACAACACATTTTTAAAAGGGTAAAAAATGCTGTTTCTATTCTCAACCCTCCTGTGGAAGAACGAGAGTGGGAAAGTGAGCGACTGTGAGGCTTGGTGGGCATCTGGCAGCCAGCTAAAGTCAAGCCCCTGTAGTCAGTGACTTCTAATTCTTACCAGACTAACTGGAAATTCTAATTTAGACTAAGAAAATTTTGGGTTTTGGTGGTTTATCTGTTGGATGAAGGAAGAATTTGTTGTTGAGATTGTTACTGGTGCAAATAAAATAGAGCATCTATAAGGTAGAATCTAGGTGTTTTTTCCTCCCACCCACAGTTTTAGGAATATGATTTATCTGTATTTAGTTTTATTTCTATGTAATATGTGGAAGAATAAACTTTAGGATTTTTTTCTAATGAAACAAAATTTGTGACCACAGGAACAGAAAAAGTGGAAGGGACACTATTCTTACACCACTGTTGCCCACCCTTAATCTAATTCCAACAAGTTTTCAGAACTAAGTTGCTAGATGGGTAGAAACCTATTTTTTTGTCTTAGTGAAGATTACTGTGAGCATTACTTCTCAGACTCTTTGTAGCAAGAACTGGCATTAGCAGCACCTGTCAAAAACTAACCCTTTGGAATTTATACTTTTGACATGAAGAACTCCTTCCTCAGTGTTCGTATGTGGAGAATACCTTTTGCTGAAAGGAGCTGAAATTGTGTTCTATTTGGCAGTGTTGCTAAGGTGCATGTCTGTCTTAAACCTTATGCGTAACTCCTCTAAGGTGGAAAAGACCCATCTCCAGCATAGTTTGTGCTGTAGTGCTGCCCTCGTCCAGTTGTCCCTGATACAAAGCACATGCTGGTGTAGACTGCGATGTACAAGGGCTTCCTTTTGCTTGCCAGCTTAATGTTTAGTTTTCTTTCAAGAACGGGTTAATTGTAGTGTTAAAAGCTGGAATGCGAAGAGACTAATACAGCTTTTCTCTCTCACCTCTTCTTCTTTTAGAGCCCAACTTTGAGGATGCTCCAAAGTGATCCCTGGAGGTTGTACACCAAAAAGCAGTGTACACCAATGGAGCTGCTGGATGTGGCAGCAGTTGTAACTTAATAAATGCAGTGTTTCAGTTTGATTTCAGAGTGTCAGTAAGTTCTTAACACCATGGTGAGCACAGTTTGCTATGGTTGCCAACTCCTACATGACTGAGGCACCCGAGTAGCATTTCTTAGTGATAACTGCAAAACTCCTTTGCCAAGCTGCATTTTAGTGCTGAGAAGTAGTAACACTGATAATGATACATCAAGAAAGGACTACTTGTTTTTCTGAGTTGGTCACATCCAAAAAGCTAATGCTGAAGAAAACCCCATGAACCCCAACTCTGTAGCAAAGCCCAATGACAGTGATGGACTTGCACAGTCAAAAGCATGGGAACAAATATATTAATTTTACACTGTATCAGTGAACACACAAGTGATGGAGTATTACTCTTATAGAAGCAACTGGAAACTGTTAGTAAGATGTTAATATTTAAATTACAGTAACTGAACCTCACACACACACACACACACGTGAGATTTGAAGGAGCTATTTATTTGTGACACTTCAACAGTCAGGGTTCAGATACCACAGCTTGAGTTGTACTGGCAAGATTTTCTTCAGAAGGAATTACATATGCAGTCTACAGAGAGATACACTTCCTTGTGGAAAAGAAGCTGTAGCCATTTCATATCAGACAAAATACTAACCCTCAATTACAGGAAGCTTTATGCTGTCAGGATAGTAAGCTGAAGTCTGCATGACTACTTAGGCGCTTACAGATGTTTTTTGCCAAGTAATACAATGTCAAGGTTCTAAGAAGTTGGAATTGCAGGAGAGTTTGAGCCCTTGACAATGGTGGAGATACAATTAGAAGTAGTGATAGGAAGGTCATCTTTTAAAGTTATTTGAATAGATTGTTATGAGCTGTAAGAGTGAATCCTGTATTGTTCCATTTATACATGAACAAAAGAACTTCACACAAATTGACTTCTATATTCAATTAAGTTCTGTCTTTAAGTTTATTTGGGGTTTTGTTTTTTTAAAAAACAATCACAGTAAGGTTAACAAGATTTTAACATTGGCAGTTTCTATTTTCATCCTGTAGTACACAGAAACAATATTTACAAAACAGAAGTTGAAAGATCTATTTGATACTTTCATCCAACGTGTAGTCTTGATGTCCCTCACAGAGGCTGAAATCTTCTAAATAACAAAGGATTTTGTATGCTTGAAATCCTAAATGAAGCAAACAAGGTTACGTAAGTAATAATATAAAGTTTTTAACCAGATTGACATTTAGTGTACATTTCAGAAAAAATAAATCAAAATTAAAAAATGACATCCCTGAATTATTCAGTTAATGTTTACTCTTTTCAGGAAAAGGAAGTCTACAGAATGCACTGCCTCACAGTAAAAGCAATAACCTGTTAAAAAATCCAAGTATCAAACAGCTCTGTTGAGCATACAATTCTTAAGTGCATTACTATTGATAAACAAGTACCACAACTCTAAAGTTTGTTTCTTACCACTCAAAGCAGCCAGGTAGCTGCCCTCAGTAAGTTTTTTACCTGAATACCAGGTGAAGAAATAAACCATTCAGTAGACTTTATTTTGTTTTAAAAAATGGGTGGTATTTACATAGTAAATAGCTTTTTCACACTACATAGTAGTATGTAGCCTTAAAGTCAGACTTAAGGCTACTAATGTTGCCTTAAGCTATAGATAGGTAAATTAAGTTGCTCCTGGTTGAAGCTTTAGTTTGAGCACCATTCTTTTTACACCAATCTGAGAAGCTGGAGCAATGTACATGCAGTTACAGCCCTTGAGTCCTCTCAAGGAAGCTGGAAAAACATAACTTCAGCTTCCATATTTAACCAAGCCTTTTGACCCACATGAATCTTAGGGGAAGTTTGAGCCAAACTTCATCTCGCTGCTGCGATTGTGTTTGAGTAAGTTCCTTGTTTAACCAATATGCACAAGCATACCAGAGTGGAATCCTTCACAAACAAGAAATGGCATCATTAAGTGGACAGCACAGAGATGAGATTGCCAAATGGCGTTAAGTGTGTTACCTTTTTACTGTGGTCTGATGGAGGGAACATATGAAAAGGGGAAAGAAAAGGCATGAAAGAAGCTGAAAGACCAGGCAGATGTAGGAAGAAGTAGGTAAAAGACCACCAGGTAAAAAATCTAGTTCACGTGGAAAAGAAAAAAATGGTGAAGTATGGAGCAAAGTGCTGTAGTTGTATGGCGCTTGAAACTAAGTAATAGGAAGCTATAAATACAAAGAGGGATAAGGTATCTCCAGGTGGGGATAGCATGTACGGTTTGGGGGTATGTGCAAAAACATCACAGTTATTAGGAATTTTGAAGACATATAAAACTTTTTTTGACTGAATGCAAAATACATGCCTTTTCACTTGTAGATTGATAGTTTGTCTTCTTTCTGTTAGCAGGAAAGAAACATAGGTTAAATAGTGTTTTCTGGTGTTTGTTTTAACCCTTTGAGAAGCTTATTTATGAATGCATTTTTCCTAATTTCCAGCAATCCTTGGAGTTTTTTCCCCACTTAGGAAAAAGTTACAATAAAAAAAAATCAATTTGATACTTCAACAGCTGTCATTATCTCTTGAACCACTGCCAAATTAGCTTCCTTAGCTTGCCTTTCCAATGCTTCCAGTTATGCTTTTTGCCTAGTTCATAGCCAGTATTTCTCTTTAGTATTATTGTTTTTTGTACCTGCTATTATTTAGAAATGCTGAGATAAACTTCTAAAAGCAAAAAATAAAACAAAAAACTTGAGGCCATCCTTCAACAAAGCATACATTTTAACCTTGTGCAGAAGCAGTAAAATAGTTTGAGGAATTCTGACTTGCTACTAAGAAATATAAGTGCATGAAATAAATCTGTATCAGAGTAGACCAGACACCCTCAGAAAGTCTCTACCCATCATATTTTTTTCAAAATAGTTCCTGAAATAATCTGTAGACATGGATATGGGGTCAGTTCAGTTTGGTTCTGAGCATCCTTAGTCACCTTTGAAGAGGAGACAAATGTATGCCTGTAACTGAGTTAGGGGTGTAAACCAGAGCTATGTAAAATTACAACATTTGCCACAGTAATAATAATTATTTTCTGACCAGCACACTGGTTCTAATCAGGGAGCCAGCTATTGTGTAGAATCAGGTTTATTTCAGTGTTGAAAAGAGCCACCATGCAAGAATCATGTGAGAAAGGCCTTAATCACCACAGTTACTAAATCATCAGACATGTAAATTAAGTTTGCAGTGATTTGTGTACTAGCTATATCGAGATACTTACTGGGAAGAGCTTTCCTCTGAAAAAGAAAAAAAATACAAAAATTAGCACAAGAACGGTTCCCTGAGCTGATTTAAAGTTATATGAAATAGTTATTCATAGCTTATCCAGCTCCTCTGTTTCTAGAAGTAGTTTCTGAATCAAATGTCTGGTTTTGGTCTAGTGAGATTAAGAAGAGTATCAAAGGTAAAGGAACTTCTAAGTGACCATGAATTTAATTTTCACTTTTAGACAGCAGACCTTCTCAGACCCGACATTTGACATCTCTTCTTGCTGGGATGAAGTCTACCGGGACTAATGTAAACGCTAGGGAGAACGTTGCTGGGTATCGAGATTTTTTGCAGCAATCCTTAAAAGCAAGGTTTCCCCACGTGCACTTTCCCCACAACCCAGGAGAGGGAGCCACTAATTCAGTTCTCCTTCATCAAACTCGGCCGCTCAGACCGTTTTAATAGTTCAAGTGAACTTGGAACAACTTGTTTTTATGTTGCCTTGTTTTGCCATCCCTTCTCAACACTAGAGAAGAGAGGCTCTAGGAACCAGGGTTCGGCTCGTTGCTTTCCCTAGTCTGCTGTCTGGTAGCCTCATGCAACTGCACCAACGTCTCCAAGTCATTTGTAAAGTATCTCTTGCAGTAGAAATTGTGTAGACATTTTTATTCTGCCTATAACATTGCTGCTGTAATGCTCTTCGGCTTCAGTAGCATGGAGTCAGAGCCTTCACGAAAAAGGAGGACATGTTACAGTCAGCAGATTGATTTATTTTTTTTCCCCACAAGGAAGGAGTAATTTTACTTTACTTACTTGTAAAGTAGCCCTTTTTTTGGGCATAAAATACTCCAAGGCCACACAATGACATTACCAGAGCCACACATACTACTGCAGCGATGATAGCACTTATATTAAGGTCATCTGTAATTATAAAGCATAAGTCCAATGTTGTTAAGCTGTAAAAATTTCCATTGGTTGGATTTTTTCCCCCTAAATACTACAGGTTTCTTTTGTATTTCAAGGTCGTCTTTTGCCCAGGCAATTTACATAAGCTAATTAGTAAGGTGTAGATAAGTAGTCCAAAAGCATTACTGTATCACAGCCACATTGACAGGAGTGCTTGATACACTTCAACTCCTTAGTTTGGGTCAAAAGTAAGGAAAGAAGATGGGTCAAGGATACATACTTTTCATTATACCTGTCCAATAAATATTATTCAAGTCATATGTTTCTAGGGGAAAACATCTTGAAATGTTTACAAGTCTTAAAGCAAGTGTTTTCATATAGTTATTCTGCCTAAAATACCTGAAACAGCTGATGACAATGTCAGGTCCCAGTCCTGAAGAATCAAGACAAGTTACTGAATGGCTTTTTTAAACAGCAAGGCTTTAAAAATTCAACACACTAAAGACCAACAAATAATTTAGCCCAGATGTCTGAAATTAAACTCTACTGAAACATATAGCCATTTTTTTTATTTTGAAGGTGACCCAAGCCCATTTCCTGGTACAATCACCAGGAGCTTCTATCATCCATGTTAGAAAAAACAAAAAACATCAAACAAGAAGAAACATTTTCATAGGCTTTTGCTATATACCCAATTACTTACTTGGATCCTGAATTTAAACATATATTATTATGTAGTTGGGAATTTTACCCCAAAACCATCCAGTTTTGTGCATTGCTTCACAGCAATTGAGGATTTTGGTATTTCCACAACAGAGGGATTCTATCTTGGCAGCCTGGGGAATGCTTGCTCATAATCAACCAGGAATGCATTAAAAACCATGATACAGTGATTTTCAGGTAAGTTCTAAGAAAGCACCAGACAATTTCTTTATGAAATACTTGTGCACAAACTTTTGTGCGGTATTTGTTACAATCTTCAGAAACTTGAAATGTTTCTTTACCATCTGTTTTATATCACATCTGCAAGAGCTAGTTCCATATTTTCCCAAAACATTCATAGATTTTGGGTTATTACTTACTCCGCATCTCCAGCCTTTCTTAAATTCTTTATTAGTTAAAAGATGTTAGACTTCACCTACACTGTCCAAGTAGAAAAGAATCAAGCAACATTTTTCTTTTTAATTTTTTTTTCACTTCTTCAGTGTTCCTCTGGCAGGTATAAATGAATCACTCATATTAAATTCTGATTAAATTAGTTAAATTCTGATCTGTTACAGTAAGACCTCACATGAATGCATCTCAAAAGGGAGGCTTTTCATAAAGAAAACAAACCAGTGGACTGGCACATTATGCTGTACAGCTTCCACAAAAGCATTCTGAAAAATTAAAGATCTCATATGAATACTGCTGTTGTATGAAGTTCAGTGTTCAGCAACTTTTTGACAGGGTGCAAATTATTGCACAGGTGCAATAATTTTAAGGTACTATAATAGCTGCTTTTCTGTGAGACATGTTTTTGCTATAAGATGGCTGTATCATGATTTAAGTAGCCACGGCAGCTACATATAAAGAACTCATTATAATCCCTCCCCCAAAATTAAACAGATATAATTCAATCTGGTCTTAACTTCTCAGCTGCATCATGCAATAAAGTATTCCTATTGCAAGGCTGTTTTCCACCCTTACTTGCTTTGACACATACCAACTTGCATTCGCTTCGCTGAGCATCTCCGAGATAATCCAATCCCATTGAAGGCTTCACAGAAATACTCTCCAGTGTCATTCTTTGTAACTGTATTAAATAGCTGTTAAGACAGAGTCCAAAACAATTATTAGAATTTAAAAAAAAAGTCAGGATTTCCTGTGGAATAGAAATTTTGATATGTCAACAGGGTTTGGTTGGTTGATTTTTTTTTTTTTTTAAACAAAAAAACTCAAACTGAAATGGGTAAGTTCTGATCCAGTTTGACCTCATAGTTCAGTTCCCTAGTCATATCCTCTAGTCCTTAAATTCCACTTGTGGTCTAAAAAGGTCTTTTAGATGGATATTTTAACTAGATGGAGTTATCTACAAGGAGATTCTTCGGTGCATCAGTATTTTCCAACAAAATGTGTTTTATTTAAGACACGCTCTAATTTCAGAATCTGTGGCATCAGAACATTTTCCTCATTTCAAATACACAAAAATTAAAATAAATGAATGAATGAAGTAGAAAAACATATTTACCATGGAAGGTTTGTGGGCTTTTCCCCCCTGCCAAGAAATGGCACTTTCTAATGCTAAAGGGCATTATTAATCAAATACTATTGCTGTAAAAATGAAATTAAGGAGATGGACAGAGACTGACTTCATGTCAGTTTCAGGGTTTCCCTGTATTTTTTTTTAAATCCTTAGACCTGCTAATTTTTTTCCCCTTTAATATATTCCATACTATAAAACTAAGATTTTCAGAAGTGATTGGTAATTTTGAGTAGTCCGCCTAATTTCCACAGTGTACTGAAAGATCCAGAGCACCTCTGAATGCTCAGTCATATTTCAGTTTTCAGGTTTTATCATGCATAAGGGTAGGGTGTCCCTAGAACAACTTCTGAAAAATCTCAGCTGACAATGCATCTTAAGTAGTATGTATAGGTTTTTTTTTTTAGAAGGAGCACCTCATGGGGAAGCGATGAGAAAGAGATGGCCAGTTCTGCAGGGAGAAAAACCTCAAAACACAACATAAAACAAACAACTAAAATAAAACACATACTAAGGTTACTTACAGCCCCAACTCACTCCCATTGACTTGATAACTACTGGACCAGAACCCATAAATGTCACCAGATTGCCCAGATTCTGGACTGCCCTTAGTGCTGCATTCCCACTGAACTGAGTTGCTATTTCAGAATTTAAGGTGCTATCAAATGTAACTGTTGACACACTGAGAGATCATTCTCATCTGGCACTGGTCAGTTAACTGACAAGGTGAAATTTGTCATTTATTTTCTAGTTTCTGCTCATTTATCGTTACTACAGCCTTGCAAATCACCCCATTCTTCTGTATCACCCTTGTAATTGGCCTGAGGCAGAAAGCACCTTCTACATTTGTTGCCACATATTTCAGCATGACATTGATCTCTGACAAAGACCTTGTGCATTTTTGGATTACGACCCCTGTGCATATTTGTACTAAAAAGTATATTTGGTTTTCTTGGTAGCTGGTTATTACAGAGTTGTTTATCACACTTACCAGTGTGCCAGACTTTCTATTCATGGTGTAAGTTAGGTTTGCTGCTCTAGCACTGCCTGTTCCTGTCTTTTCGCGTAAGGCAACACCATTCTTGTACCACTGGTACTCTGAGGGAGGAGACCCCTCAGTCTCCTTACAGCTCAGTTCCACGACCGTTCCCGTCATTGCGGAGCTGGGTATTTCACATACTGGAGTAGTTGGAGCAACTGGACAACAAAATTGCACTTGTTACACAGTCTTTATCAGTACTGCTTACGTGATAACAGCTTGACAGTCAGTGGTGAGGAGATAACTGCTTGTCTATATGCTTGGCAACTACCAAGTAAAAGAGAAGAGGTGCTGGAGAAAGGGTTGAAGGGCAGAGTCCTGCTACTAGAGAGCACAGTAAAAATTGTGAGATGCTAAAAACAGAAGAAAGAGCCTTGCTCCCAACCTCCTCCACCACATGCTGTGTCATCCTCTCTCCAATCTATACACTCTCATCCAACCCCAGCGAGTTTGTTTCACCTTGTTTCTTGTATGGGGCCCCTTGCTCACAGACAGAAGAAGGATAACTTAGGGAACCTGTAGCCCAGCAAATTCCCCTGTTCCCTGCCCCGATATTAAAAACAGGAGTGAGGAAGGCAATGAAGATTTTATTGTATTAAAAGAAATCAATGTTTTTTTTGAAATAACTATTGTCAGAAAGAATTACCAAGACTAGCTATGATCACAGTCACTGTGTAAATCCCAGGTTGAGGACCAAAGACAACTGGCTACTAAATTTTAATTAAAAGCAAACATTCTCACAAACAGATGCAAGAGAACTGATAGTTCCTTTTGCCATGAAGACAAATGTTTCTTTTTCCTATTTTTAATACCTTAAACAAGTATTCAGAGGGGTTTTTGGCTGATTTTGAAATAAAAAACAAAAATAAAGAAAAACAAATGAAATACTAATTCATATTAATTTTCAACAATATCAGCAACACACAATCTCCTTTGGGGTCTAAGATTTCAACTTAAACTAAGAAGCCATATTTAAAAGAAGCAGGCTGTTGAGATAGTGGAATAAAGGAGGCTTAAGTTGGGTTACCTCATTGCTGCAGCTAATCAGAAGTTAATGAATTTATCATTCTTTATGACACTTCATTTATAATTTTAAAAGACTTATTAGTTTTGCATAGAAAAAAAGAAGCATAGAAACTACAAAAGCAAGTATTTTATTTTCTCACCTATATGGAGAAAAAAAGAAAACTACCAGCTCCTACCACTCATCCACTGTGAAAAAATATCAAGAACAATGTAAGAGGATTATGCTCAGTATTCACTTTTCCATCCTTTACCAAACTGAGGAAGAAAACAAACAAAAAATCCCAAAGAACAACCAACCCCACAAGCCAGCACTGTCTCTCCTGTAAAAAATGTCCACAGATTGCTAGCTCACTGGCTGGCATTGTGCAGACACTGCAGCAGTTTCTCCTTCCAAAAACAGGAGACTGTAGCATATGGGAATGAACTGCTGCTTAGGAATATTTGATGAGAGTTGACAGATGCAGACATTCCAGTGCCAAACATCCTGATCAGCTTATCCAGATTCTCAGCCGCTGAGTGATTTCAGTTTCAGTAGAAATACAAGTTTCACCATCACCTAAATCCGCAGACATGCTAAGTTTTGAGAACTGAAATCGACATTTACATCAAAACCCCAGTTATATTCCTTTCTAATGCAGCTGTGCATATTGTAAAACTCTTCTGTGAAGTATGTTGCAGAATGTGCATTTATAAAAGCAGCCCAAAGAACACTCATGAATCAGCAGCCACGTACCATATGGACAACCCTACCTTCAAAACCCCTTGCCATCATTCAGTTTATTTACAGAAGCCCAAGTAATAAAGTTATTACCCAATACTGTGAGAGTAATAATAGCCTCTCCCACGTGTTGCCTCTCATCACTCCTTGCACTGATTTCACAGCGGTAGGTCCCAGAATCCTTTCTAGTCACATTCCTAATACGGATTCCTGTATTCAGCATCTCTGCTCGGCCTCGAAGATCACCTGTAAGGGAGAACAGAGGCTTGTGCTCTTTCCTTGTATTTTAGCAAATATCTACATCTCATGGGCTTGTTCTGAAATCACATACAATTTATGAACTATTCCTCATTTGTTCAGTGTTAGTTATCTGTCGCCAAGAAGCAATGTCTAATCCCCCTTCCAAGACAGTAAGAACCTTCCACAACTTGTCCCATTTAGTGAAAAAAAATAATAAAATAATTAAATCTCAGTTCAAAAAACCTACATCTGTCATACATTTTCTAGTTGTAAGATGGAGTGTTTTTTTTTTTCTGCAGGTATTTCAAGAAAACATGCATAGCAGTAGTCAGGTGACAAAAAACCTTCCTTATTTCCCACTAGAGGGATGGCAATCAGTCACTTAATATTTTGCAGAAAGAACTCTAACTGAGATCACAGAAAAGTATTTGACATTTTAACTTGGCAAGAAAAACTTGATGGATTTAGCAAATATATTGCCATCAGGCCTGTTACAATGAGAGTTTTTTTTCATTCTATAGCTTGTTATGAAAGTTACATGCATACAGAACTGTGAGTTCTAATGTTTCAATAAATTAAATACATGCAGAAAAAAACAATTTCATCAGCAAAACCAGCACATCTTGCAAGTTCTACAAACTAAGAAAATTGCTGTGTTTTTATTTTACTTCTCAGCCTTCATTTATTATGTACAAGGTACCAGAGACCCATATTTTCTTCAACACATAAAGCTGACAAGTCCTTTTCAGAACATATAAGCAGAAATTCCACTTCTGAAAAGAATACAAATAATTTAAAATATACAGCTGAGTTTATATTTTATGCATATAAAAATTGCTGCATTATTCATATCTAAGCCTCCAGCTCTACAGAAGGTTTCAGAAACTTCTAGTTGGAGTGCAGAACTTGTAATAGTTTTGGGAAGTTTATATCTGAATGTAATTTCATTTTTGAAAAATGTCAAGGGACGGGCAGTGCCATTTTTCCAAGTCTTGAGTTTTATAATATTTAACTTCATTAAAAAGGTAACTAATCACTGATGATTTTACTAAGAAGTGCTTTTTTTTACCCCTCTGAGAAAGAATTATTTTCCTCAAAAGACAGATGTTCAGTATGGGGAGTCAAAAGCATTCTCTTTCAGTCATTTCCCAAGAAAGAGTTAGCATCTATACTAGAGAGTGACATGTTAAATCATCAGTCTAAATTTGCAGTGCTGTACCTGTAAATTCATTATTGTAGTAGACAAATGAGACACCTTGAGGCTGGAGTTTCTTCCATTCTATTCTTACGCTCACCTCTTTTGAAAATTTGTGCTTGCAACTAAGAATAGCCTCTAAATGAGAAAAAAAAAGAAAGCAAAAGGGAAAATTAGAGTCTTTGGCATTAGGTTTGGTACACATTCAGGCTCCATGAATTTAATATTCACCCTTCAAAAGAACTTGAGCAGTCAGCAAGGGTCAGATCTCCTTCTCAAAGTGATGCTATCAGACCATCTCCAGATTTACAGAAACACAGTGGGGAAACAGAAACTAGTAATTTTCCCATACTTCACTGGGCTTTGAATCAAACTTCAGATGTTGGGGACTAGTTATTCCCACATTAGATGGGCACAGATTCTGTATTACTATATTCATTTTAGGTTTAAGTATTTTCAACAGTGAGCAGACCACCATTAGAAAAGGACCCTGACTCTGTTATCAACAATATTTTGTGAATTACTATTCCAAATTCAGTATCAACAGTTCAACTGTGTAACTTCAACAGATGGAAAACACACCAGTAAGGTGGTTAGATATTCTCCTAAGCAACTTATATATTTAGTTACTATTTCATGTTCATTATTGTAAGGATATGTGAAAGGTGAGAGTCTGCTTCATTAAAGTTTCGCAAACAAGGACTTTTTCAATGCAAAAGTGGTAACAAGTAGAGGGGGCAACAAGAAACAGACAGAAACATGGAAGACATGAACAGAGATGATGATAAAGACCATCAGGCTCCAAACAAACTGATGGGAATGTGGTAGGGGAAACAGAAGCATGTGGGAGTCTCTTCATCAGTACTTGGAGGGGCCACAGATGTTGAGAGTGTGTGTTGGTGAGTCTCAAAGCAGGTTTGCCTGGAGTGCAAGCTATCAGCACAGAGAGGGTTGACTTCAGTAAATTTTGGGTCAGGGACTGGGATCACACTGCGGGTGTAGGCACCCCTGGGCTTGTGGTGGTGATTTCTGGAAGTGGGAGTGTATGCGCAGTGTTTGTATCTTCCCTATACCTCATGTGCCAAGAGGTGTGTGTGTAAGTCACTAGCAGACCTCAAGATGGGCAAGCTGCTGAGCAGAGTATGGGTGGCAGATGGGCAAAGGGGCTGTGCTTAGACCCAGGGGATACAAGAACATGCATGTGCTTGTGATCTAGAGTGTTGCGTGAGTGTCTTCACCACTGAACTACCTCCACCCGCCAGAGAGGAGGGAAGAGGCTCAGCAGTCTACACTTAAAGCTTTATGTGAGTTACCCCCAAGCAGAGTTGTATGTGGGTGCTGCTGAAGGCAGTGCCTTGCCTGTGGCTGTCGGTGTAGTTGCCAGTGCCAGCGTCACAAGTGTGTGTATGTGTGGGTGTGCACAGACCGGTGCATCCCTGGGGCACACACAGTCTTGCTACTGGTTGAACCTGCAAATGGGAAAGCAGGAGCCATGTCCATTGGCCTGGGACAAAGACCCCTGTATCTACAGGCACACTGGGCTGGGCTCCTGTGGCCGGGCAGGAGGAATCCCTAGGCTCCCAAATGTGCGGGTGGCAGAGGCTGCTCATCACATCCTTTGGCGGTTCAAGAAAATCAGGTTCGTGTAATTGTTCACCTTTCTGTCTATCCACTTAAGTTTCCCTGACATATGTATAGTGGGCATCATCAAGCAAATTTCACAGAGAGGCTGAGATTTCAAGTGTTACTGATTATTGCTGAAGTTGCCATAACTGGGTAGGTAATAAACCCAAATTAGTGCTCCTAATGAGGAGCAGATTATACTGGGATCTCAACTGTTTTTACTCACTCACAGCAAGACATCAGCATATGCCATCGCTAATATGCAGCTTGCATCATAGTAATTGTGGTCTATGTTCAGGCCTACAGTTATTATGGGGGAACTAAAGATGGAGAGATGAAATAACAAACTGTATAGATAGGTTATTAGGACAAACTCAAGAGTTCCAGTAGTTCTATTGTCCATGGAATAGTATGCTGAAATACTTTTTTTTCCCCCCCAAAGTAAATAACTCTTAAGTCAAGGTATTAACAAGAATTAATGGGAGAAAACACCAGAGGGAAGAATCCAATCACTCATCTGACTGGCTCCAAATTTATTAGTAAGTAAAATTTAGTATCTCCCAGAAACTTCTGTAAAAAAACCAAATGCAACATTGATCTTGCCACCTTTAGGCTGCTCATCTTCCAATACAAGCCAGAGTATCAAGGATCAAAAGCCTTTATAATTTTGGCAATGCCTTTCTAGCCTTCAGGATACGATCAACCACTGCACAAACACACAGTCAATCTACATTAAGTGGCACCCTTCTTTCCAGTCTCAGCAAACAAGGCTGACGGGTAACTAAGAGCTACCGACAGATCTACCCCCTCACCCTTTGGAGTCTGATTTCCCATGTCTGTGCTGTAAGAGAAACAAAAAGCTTCCAAGGGACCAGACCGGTAGCCTTGGTGATTTCTCAAAGGGGAAAAAAAAACGTTCAGACTTAAAAGAAAAATTAAGGCAGGAGGGCATTCTTTGCCAAAAACATGTTACACACACACACTGATTACTTCGAAAAACATGCTGTGTACTCAGGAAGCTTGAGGTTCCTGACTTCAGGTTGAGTGGATGGGTGGAGGCTTCCTGAATCTTAAGATTTGCTAAAGTTTCCTTTCCATCTTGTTTTTGTACTCTTCTAACAAAGAAAAACCATCATTCAAGTTCAGCTAGCTTTTGCTACTGACCTTGTGACAGTTGGCTGGTCTCATGAGCTGGTCTATGTTACTTGATATAGAGAGAGATCAGCTGAAGTGTTCTCAGCTGAAAAAGTCACCTCTGTCTTAAATGACCTGTCCCTTTCTTGCATGCCACAATATTTTTTTCATTTCAGAAAAAGCTGTCATTGATGCCCTCCCACTAATCTTATTTGGGTAACAGGAATGGAATGGAACAAGGGGAATGCCCACAGAACAGAGACAACACAATAAACCCCTCCTTAGTTATCATGCCCTCTCCCACTTTTTCACATACTATCAGAGTCAGTGAGAGTGGTATTATCAAGAACAGGTTTACTTGACTTGCATTAAGATAGGCCCACAGGACACTGTGCATTACCACATGCTCTGTCAGGCCTAGAAGAACCTTCTGGAATCTTGGAGAGGTCTGGACAATGTCTAATTCGGATTTACATCTGGTCTGTAGGCTATAATCTGTCATTTAGTTATAGAATCACACAACAGCTCAAGTTGGAAGGGACCCATAAGTATCATTAAGTCTAACTCCATGCTCCTTGCAGGGCTACTTAAAACTAAACCACGTGTCTAAGAGCATCATCCATATGCTCCTTAAACTCTGACTGGCTTGGTGCCATGACTGCTTCCCTGGGGAGCCTGTTCCAGTGACTGACCACCCTCCTCTACAGTAATAGGAGCTGGAGAAGAAAGGAAAAATGCATTTCAGGTCAGTTGCATTCAGATAAACAGCCACCTCCCTTAGTGCTGATACACAAAAAGAACTCTGCATGACACCTATGCTATGGTCAACTGATCTCACTCTATCATACAAATAACAATGAACAAAATGCAAGCCATACATCATATAAAAAGACAGAATCTTATAAAGCTTAAACATTATCTGAAGAGTTTATCTCTCCTCCTTCCTGTCCTGAGTTCTAAATATATTAAAATTTCTCTTCCGCAAAAGTGACAATACTTGACAGCCGTCCAGCTAACAGCTTTAGAGACCTCCAAAATACTTGATTATTACTTCAAACAGATGGTTCAAGCCTAAAACTCGGCAAACAGTTCTTTCAATACTCAAATTCTCATCTCTTCCCATTCCAACCAAATGCAAAAAACAAACCAAAAACCCACATAACCCACAGGCCTCATATAGATACTACCAGCATCCCTTTCTCATCTACCCAGCAAACACTGGGCTTTCCTCCCTGCCTCCTTAACTTCCCTAGTACATTACTGGACGTAATTGGTTATTTTACATGACATGCACATATATAAATAGCCATTATAATTACTGACAATTAAAAATAGTAATTAAATTATAGCTACTGAAAACTAATTGACTTACAATAGAGAAGAACTTCCCTCTCTAGTCCTTCACTTCTCTGTCTTGTAAGATAATTAATGCTTCTCCTTTCTATCAGTTCCCATCATTTTGGGTGGAAAGAAACCAGGCGGAACTTACACAGCGAGACAAACAAGTCATAGAATCACCAAATAGGTGAAGTTGATAAGTACCTCTGGGGAGTGTCTCATTCAATCTCACATCAAGTAAGAGAAAATGGGGACAAGACCAAGATTACATAGAGAATGAATGGAGGGAGTAGGAGCAGGACCCCTCAGGGAAGAGAAAGACAATCTTAACAGCTGCACAGCTTCTGTATACACAGTTTGTATTTATTGTGTATATTAATTATCATTGTGTATATATTAAAAATAACAGCAATGCCCATACTGTACCCTTAAACTCCTCTGCTTTTACGTTTTTGTTATCCGTTTCAATGGAAATTCCAAACGCTTTATGATCTGCAAGGGGATAGAAACAAAAAGAGAATTCAGCAATAAACACTTGTAATTTCAGATGTGCTTCAGCAGCTACCAGCAATATTTTCAAGACCTCCTTATGCTGGGCAGATTAAATATTGTCTACTTGAGACGCCATGGGACTAAGACCTAGACCAGGGCTAGCCACGTGGCTTTGAACAATTCATCTTTTCCTTCCCATGCCCTAGCACCCCTAAAAAAATAGCAATATTTCTCTTTTACAATAGCATGATAATATTTACATGTGAGAAGTCTGTATAAACAGTAGGCATTGTTTTATACTAGGGTAATGTCTCAGTCTGCTTCTAAATGGGGAGATTTGTATTAATTCATAACTGTATTTTCCATTGCATTACTATTATAAGGCAGGAATATTCACTGAAGAATACCATGCACAGCTTCTACAGGATAAAGAAAATACATGTAGTAATTGTCAGTTACCTCAGATTCTTGTTGAAATGAAAACATTAGTCAACATTTACTATAGTTTTATATCAAAGAGAGAAAAAGACCCCGTACATTCTTGGATATCTCTTGTAATCGAAATACTGAAATTTAGGGTTTCAGCTACAGATTTTCACAGCTGTGAGTCAGCATACTGACTTCCTTGAATGAAGGTACCATGTACACTCAGAATGGTTTGGGTTGGAAGACACCATTAAGGGTCATCTAGTCCAAACCCCCTGCAGTGAGCAGGAACATCTTCGACTGCATCAGGTTGCTCAGAGACCTGTCCAATCTGACCTTTAATGTTTCCAGGGATGGGACATCCACCACCTCACTGGGCAACCTGCTCCAGTGTTTCATCAGCCTCATTGTAAAAAAATTTCTTTCTTGTACCTAGTCTAAATCTATGCTCTTTTAGTTTAAAACCATTACCATGTGTCTTCCTAACATTACAAACCCTGGTAAAAAGTTTGCTCTCATCTTTCTTATAAGGCCCCCCTTTAAGTACTGGAAGACTGCTATAAGGTCTCCCCTCAAGCCTTCTCTTCTTCAGGCTGAACAGCCCCAACCCATCTCAGCCTTTTCTCATAGGAGAAGTATTCCAGTTCTCTGATCATTTTTGTGGGTATCCTCTGAACTCCCTCCAAGAGGTCTTTCCTGTGCTGAGAAATCCAGAACTAGACAGTTCTGCAGGTGTGGCTCCCACCAGAGCAGAGCAGAGGGGAAGAATCACCTCCTTCAACCTTCTGGCCACATTTCTTTTGATGCAGCCCATGATACCATTGCCTTTCTGGGCTGCAAGCGCATATTACTGGTTCACACCCAGTTTTTCATCCACCCCCAAGTACTTCTCCACAGCGCTGCTCTCAATCCCTTTGTCCCCTGTTTCCCAGTATTGATACCGGAGGTTGCCCCAGCCCAGGTGCAGGACATTGCATTTGGCTCTATTAAACCTCATGAGGTTCACATGGGCCCATTTCTTGAAAGTGTCCAGGTCCCTCTGGATGGCACCCCATCCCTCAGTAATATTGACCACACCACACAGCTTGGTGTCATCTGCAAACTTGCTGAGGGTGCACACAATCCCACTATGTCATTGATGTAGCTATTAAACAGCACTGGTCCCACATGCCATCATGGTTTTCTTTTCAATTCCTTATCATTCAAGTGTGGCCCTACAGGGGGAATTCTCTATCCAAACTGTACCTATGGCCCTCTCTGTCCGTAATCTTCTGGATTTTTTCAGCATCCTTTAAAAATACAGACTGTGGGTCTATTGGTATCTATAAACATTGGCTATGTGAGTCATGGAGCAACAGTCAGCGTAAGTATTTGAGTCTCCAGCACTGCAGCAAAAGTTCAGTTACTCATTCAGTGTATCCTGCTGTGGCGGGTTGACCTTGGCCAGCTGCCATCTGCCCACCCAGCTGCTCTCTTAACTTCCCCTCCTCAGCATGACAGGAGAGAAAATAAAAGTACAAAAAGCTCACGGGTCAAGAGAAAGACAAGGAGCTCATTTAGCAATTACCACCACAGGCAAAACAGATTCAACTTAGGGAAAATAAACTGTATTGCCAATTAAAAATATAGTAAGTGCAGGGATTGTGGAGGATGAGCATTGTGCTCAGTCCCCAGAAAACCTGGCAATGTGAATTTTCATATGTGTACATTACCAGAAGATCCAAACTGGTGTGCAACTATGCTGTGTCTTGTATGTTTTACTTTTATTGTCACCTTTATGCTACCCCAAAATAGTTACAACAGATGTTCATAATACAAAAATAAATAAGAAGGGAAGAATATAATTTCAGCAATGCTATTTATGTACCCTTAGAATACTGAAATAGCAAAAAATATTTGCATTACAAATAGCACTTGGAAATTTTTTCCACTCCATGAAGAATGGAAACTTTCCTGTTGGACTTAAAAAAAAAAAGATAAAAAAACCAAAATGATCCCCCCCCACGCTGTTGAAACCAGAGGAGGGAACCACTCCTCCAGTGTCTCCCAAAGTAACTGTTACTCCTTTGTGTCCACACAGAGCCCATCTCATTGTTTTTGTCCAAACCTGGCTTACAATACAGCCAGTAGTAATTTCCTTTCAATCTTTTAAGCTCTATTTACATTTCTGGAAACAAAATTAGCTTTTGACTTTTACCCAAACCATGTTGTTTCTAAAACAGTAACACCCACCCCACCCCCCATACTATATGCACAGAGGTAACAAATCGTATTTATCTACTGAAATAAAATCTTCCTTCGTTTGTTCATCATGGGGAGGAGCATTTTGTTCTGAGGTTCTGACAGCAGCTAACACTTGCTAACACTTAGGTGGGATGTATTTCTGGGACACCAGCATATGAGCGAATCCATTTATAAGTTATTGGCACATCAGCCTTCTGTCTGGACACAAACCAGCTCAGGCACAAGCAGTTCACCACTGCAGTGCACTCACTGTCTCATGGACCTGGAAACTTCTCTAATACAGGTGTCATGCAGCTCACTGTGCCAGCTGAAGTACTCATAAGCTAGAAACCACAGTAAGAAAACATGTCTTATGACTTCTAGGGCTGGATTATGGTACTTACTTCTCATATGGAAGTTATAATGAAATTACTTAGCATACTTTGTATTGGGAGCTTGCAATTGCACAAAGTCTCCGTATTTTCCCTTGCATCAGGGGATTTACAGAATACGTGAAGATCCTATTATGCAATGCAGTAAGAACAAATATGTCAGGAACAAGAAAGTTCAACATACACACAGCCCTCCTCACACACACAAACCATACATATACACAACTCTCTTGAAGAAGCAGTCAAGTTCAAACAGTAACTTAAGATTGTGCAGAGACATCTGACTGAATTAAAACCTTTATATATTCTAACCAAGCAGAAAGACAAGAGAGGTCTCTAAAACTAGAGCATCTCTTCCTTAAAATATTCTTTTAGAATTATTCAGCACCCAAATTTTAAGCTCTGGATTTTAATTCACCTCATAAAGAGCAATAGTGAAAAGATCATGTATTACTGTACCAGTAAACTTAGTTCAAACACTTTTATACAGACTGAAAAAACCTCAACAAAAGACCAAAACCCAAAAAGCAACCCCCCACTTTTATTTGTCAGTAACTTCATTTGTTTAGGAGTTAACCCCCAAAATATGCACTTTCCATTTGATAATCACATAGCTGTAAACTGACAGTACTAGCTGGAGGAATCATTAAGGAAAAGCCTATTAGTCAAACCAAACCAAAGGAAACAGTGTGCCTGGAGGAAATTACATGAGAACACAATCAAAACAAAGTTATAAGTACAAGAGAAAAAGTAGTCTTGTGGTTATTTGTTTTGCCAAGTTCTAAATAGCAGGTGGCCTAGAATACAGTTTAACAAAGGATTTCAGATGATACTCTTAAGTTTAGGAAGTCCAATGTCCCAAGAATAAAGCAATAATGAAGCCAATTACCTTTTTGAAATCCCTGAAACAGAGTAGGAAACTAGTCAGCTGTTTGGTGTTAGCACGTGACATGTTCAGACATGTGACCACCTCAGGATAAACCAGTAGCAACATGCTTAGATGCTGAGGCAGACTTCTCAGCTATGTAACTACCTACCATAGGTACTCAAAACCTTCAAATTTGCTGCAGTCACATAATTTAAACTCTCATGTCTGCTTTGGGTCTCCTGTTGCCACAATTTTTCCTAAGAGAAGTAGTCCATAGATTATGTAGTCCATAAATAGGGAATTAGTGGGACAGAATTAGTTGTAAATCACCTTAAAGAAAGAAACCTAACCAAATACTAATTCTTTTTAGCAGTCTAAGACGCAGTTGCTACAACCAAAAGGCTACCAACCCGCTCATGGTAACACTAGCAGGCTAGACTACATTAACTCCAACAGCTAACGGGCAGACAGGGCTCAGACCCACCACTCTTCCCTGCCATGCTGCTGTTAGCCCTCAGCATTTGAGCAGCATTCATCCTCCATCAGTTCTGCTTGGTGAATGCTAACCTTCAGCAAACAAGCTGGCAAGAGATTGGGAGTATTCAAAGCCTCTGCAGGAATCTTCTCTGTTGGCTGAAGTCCTTCACTGACCTCTGAAATTGGGAATTTAGACACCACAGCATAGCCTGAAGCAACTGGAGTAACACAGCTTCATTAAGCGAACAGAATATAAACATGGCATTAGACTTCCATTTTTGGACAAGGGCTAGAAGAAATTCTCACATCATATGAAAATAGGGAGAAAGAAGCTCAACTTCAGTTTTTCAGCTATCTTGAATTACAAAATGTCTTGAATCTTGAATAATAATACGACACGATTTACTTTGGGCAGAGTTTGTCTGATTCACAAAAAAAACAACCTTGCATGTTTTCAACCACAGAGAACAAATAAGGCAGCAGACTAAAGAGGTAGTCAGCAGGGTAGATATAATAAGCCTATCTTAGCCTAGGAGAGCAAATTTGTATTTTAATAGCCATGGTGTGATTGCACAATGGATGGTAACCTAAAAGAGAAGGCACATATTTTGGCTGACCAGCTAAAGGGGTCTAAAACACAAAAGGCATTAAAAGAGCTCCTCAGCCACCCCTTCACTTACATGGTAGTTGTCAGCAGCACTTCCATCGTGTTCTGGAAACTGCTAGACTTAAACATGCCAAGTCTTAGACTCTTAGACCCTGGAGATGCTGCAACTCTCTGAGACCTAGTGATAACACACACAGCTCTTGAGAGTAGCTTAATATGCTGTGAAATATGTGGCAAGATTTTCAACACGCTTACAGGCCACATAGACCTTGCAGATGTTTTTAATCATGGAAGAAAACCTAGGGATCCTACAGCAGTGGCAAATGAGAATTTTTTTTCTAGAGGCTTGAAGAAGTGGCTTTAACAAAGAAGTTATGTATTTACTCCTTACAACTATAAAAGAAAGCAGATGCAGTTCTGGTTTCCTGTTTACTACCAAGAAGTTTTACCTGTGCTGGTAGTGTTTCAAGCATTAGGAAAAAAATAGGGGTTATTTTCTCCCTTTGGCAGTACTACAAATGCAGAATCTTGGTCTTTAGTCTTGGGAATGACAGACACAGCAGACACAAGCTTTTAGATATTCAGAAGTGTCAAAGAATAGAGAGATGCAGGGAATAAACACTCACTGGTGAAGTAACATAGCTTAACTTCTATGCTGTAGTTAGTGTCTTTTCCAGAAGGAGATATTAATAACATAATGAGAAGCCTTGTAATGAACTGCAATTCGTGCACACTGATACCTGGTGGCTTTCCCTCCCCTCTTTTTATACAAACCCTCTTCTAATGCCTCTTTTTTTTTTATTCATGGAGAAATGGACTAGAATTTTGGAGCAAGGGAAGAGTGGGGGCAGGGGGATGAAAACAGCTAAATCCAGGATTTGGTTTGGCTTTTCTTTTGAAAGAGGAGCTATTATAAAATTAAAATTCCATCTCTACAGTTGAGTATCTGACACAAAGAAAATTGGACCTTCCCCCCCATCCCAAGTGAAACAAAAAAAAATTCCCCAAAACGCAAAGGCATTTTTCCCCTTCCAGCCCAGGCTTAGAGCCATGCACACACAGCAACCCCTCCACTCTGTTTGCTCTTCTCACTAGACTATATTGAAGTTGGTAACAAGGCCAGTATCCAGATGGCATGTTGGTTAGATATCAGATCTGTGTGTCTGTATCTATATGGGACACACATACATTAAGTGTCTTGCTAGGAAGTTGGCAGATACTCTCTTCACCTTTTTTTAATTAAAATATGTCAAATTAAGAGCAAAAGCAGCCAAATTATATATATATAACAAATTATCTACAGATACTCAAGTAAGACAAAGCAATCAAGTTTTATGGTATGCTGCCTGGAGGATCTCTACTGAAACAAAGCAAGGTGTCACCCTAACGGGTGATTTTTGGTGGTTCCTCCAAACAGAAAAACCTGACAA